AATTAATTAGCCTTTCCTTAATAAAGTTGAGCACTTTTTCATATATTTATTGGCCATTTGAATATCTTGTTTTGTGATATGACCAGATTTATTTTTGGCCTATTTTTAAATTGAGTTGTCTATTTCTTATTGAGTAGGAAAATTTCTTTACATATTCTGCACGTGAATTATTATTATTTTTTAAAATTTTATTGGAGTATAGTTGATTTACAATGTGTGTTAGTTTCAGGTATACAGTAAAGTAGTTCAGTTATACATATACATGTATATGTATATTTATGCCTTTTCAGATTCTTTTCTCATATAGGTTATCACAGAATATTGAGTGGATTTCCCTGTGCTATACAGTAGGTCCTTGTTGGTTATCTATCTATCTTATATATGTCTATCTTATATATAGTAGATATACACACATATACATAAAGATGTATATGTTTTTCTTCTGCTTTGTGGGTTACTTTTTCACCATCAGTGGTGTTTTTTGATGAGCAGTTCTTAATTTGGTCACACTATGTGGCTTGCAGGATCTTAGTTCCCCAACCAGGGACTGAACCTGGGGCCACAGTGAAAGCACTGAGTGCTAACCACTGGACCGCCAGGGAATTCCCAAGCAGTTCTTAATTTTAATGTATTGCAGCTTATCAAATCTTTTTTCCCCCCTTTTGTCTCCTATTTAAGAAATTTCTGCCTACTCCAAGCCATAAAATCATGGGTTTTTTTGTTTGTTTTTTTGTGGTACGCGGGCCTCTCACTGTTGTGGCCTCTCCCGTTGCGGAGCACAGGCTCCGGACACGCAGGCTCAGCGGCCATGGCTCACGGGCCCAGCCGCTCCGCGGCATGTGGGATCTTCCCATACCGGGGCACGAACCCGCGTCCCCTGCATCGGCAGGCGGACTCTCAACCACTGCGCCACCAGGGAAGCCCCAATCATGTTTTTCTCTATAATTTTTGTTTTACCTTTCACATTTAGTTCTGCCATCGTTTTGGAATCATGGGGATCAATTTTCATTTTTTTCCATGTGAATATCCAATGGACCCAGCTTTATTGGAAAGACTGTCCTTGTCCCACTGTAGTCATTGCTGTCATACTAGGTGGTCCTGTGTGTGTGGTTCTGTCCTCTTGCACTGGTCAGTTTTCTACTCTTTTTTTTTTTAAATAAATTAATTAATTTATTTTTGGCTGCTTTGGGTCTCTGTTGCTGGGCACGGTCTTTCTCTAGTTGCGTTGAGCAGGGGCTACTCTTCGTTGTGGTGCTTGGGCCTCTCATTGCCCAAGTGGTTTCTCTCGTTGTGGTGCATGGGCTCCAGGCATGTGGGCTTCAGCAGTTGTGGCTCACGGGCTTAGTTGCTCCGTGGCATGCGGGATCTTCCCGGACCAGGGCTCGAACCCGCGTCCCCCGCATTGGCAGGCAGATTCTTAACCACTGTGCCACCAGGGAAGTCCCAAGTTTTCTACTCTTGCACCAATCCCAAAGGAGAGAAGCTTGATTCTACTTACATAAAGTTCAAGAAACAGGCAAAACTCTTCTATGATGTGTAAGGGAGGAAAAATCCCAAAACTTTTCTTCTACATTTATAGGTTTTGGCTGGGGCTCTGTAGCAAAAGTAACGAGAGAAAAGCATACAAATCTGTTTTACATGACCCTAAAACCTTCATAAGGAAATGAAGACACACAAAAAAGTGGTTAAGTCTGAGCACCTTTTTATGCTAGGTTTGATGCAGACTGGAAAGCCATAGAAAAATGTGATTGAAAAAAGGATATGAGCTAAGGGTAGTAAACTGAAGGAAATTTAGCAATCTTGTACAGTTGGATTCCTTTACGTGTCCCTCCATCTTCAGAGATAAGGACACTCCTTTCCTCTGGTGTAGGAAGGACAGCTATCACAGGAGGGTCCTATGACCTGCTTCAGGGGAAAGTCAAAGAATCCTCCCTGAGTCATTTCTCTGATTCCCTCAACTTAAAATATTTGATATGCTAAGGTGCCATATTTTAGGGTAGTTGTGTCCTGAACCATGTCAGATGTTATTGTTTTTAAAATTTTTTGGCTGTGCCACGCAGCATGCAGTATCTTAGTTCCGCAACCAGGGATCAAACCCATGCCTCCTGCATTGGAAGTGCAGAGTCCTAACCACTGGACGGCCAGGGAATTCCCTTTTATTTAAAATTTTATTTTATTTTATTTTTTGGCCACAGATATTATAATAAGTTAAAATGATCTTAGTGGCCTTGGCTTGCAGTGGCTTGAAGCAGAATTTTGGTTCCCTGGCAAGAGATTGAAGTCAGGTTGTGGCAGTGAGAGTCCTGAATCCTAACTGCTAGACCATGAGGGACAGTGACAAGGCCCTGGGCTGTTGGCTTTGTAGAAATGAATTTCCACTAAGAGATGGAAAGTAGTGAAACAAGTAAAGTGTTTATTAGAAGGAAAAAGAGTATGTGTGAATAGAGTCACATGGGCAAACTCAGAGAGAGAGTCACATCCTGCTGGTAGTTTGAATCACTTTTATAGGGCATTTGTCCCAGGTTTCCTTTGGCAAGTCACCTGGCTTAACCTGGTTCTGAGTCCATATTTGGTTTATCTCAGGGTCCTCCGCTGTGTGCGTGTGCATCTCTTAGCCAAGATGGATTCTAGCAAAGAGGCCTATGGGTAGGTTGACATCACCTACTATGGGGTGACGCCCCCTCCCTTTTTGACCCCCAAGGAGCCTTTCTGTGCATGTGTAGTTGGGAAGGTCTCCTTGACCTGAAGAATGAGAAATATATGGTTTCTTTATCTTTTATCTGGTCAGGACTCTGCTCCTCTCTGACCCTGCTATTATCTTTGTCTTGGAGTATCTGTCCACAGGGGACAAACTCCAGCTTCTCAGCCTGGAGGCCATCTATCTTCTGTCTCAATAATAGGGTTTCCCTTGGAGGATGAGGAATTGTACTGACCAGGAGGGCCATGAAGGGAGCTTCTGTGTTATTGGTAATTTTCTTTTTGAAAAACCTGGGTAGTATGTGCATAGGTGTGTGCATTTTGTGGACATTTTTTAATAATTTGCGCATAGGTATGTTCTCTTTAAAAATTTATTTGTAGACTTTCTGTATGTTTGTTGTAAAACAAAGAATGTTTCTCTCCATCCAAGTGCTACAAAGATTAAGTCATTAGCCACTGCAGTTGCTGATGGACAGTAGTGCCTCCTGAGAGGAATTCAGGATGAAAAACAAGATGAGGCACTCTGTGCTTTAGGAAAACAGGCCCTTTATTTTATTTGTTTAAATTTATTTATTTAATTTATTTATTTTTGGCTGCGTTGGGTCTTTGTTGCGCACAGGCTTTCTCTAGTTGCAGCAAGCGGGGGGCTACTCTCTGTTGCGGTGCGCAGGCTTCTCATTGCGGTGGCTTCTCTTGTTGCAGAGCACGGGCTCTAGGCACACAGGCTTCAGTAGTTGTGGCTTGTGGGCTCTAGAGCGCAGACTCAGTAGTTGTGGTGCACAGGCTTAGCTGCTCTGCGACATGTGGGGTCTTCCTGAACCAGGGCTCGAACCTGTGTCCCCTGCATTGGCAGGCAGATTCTTAACCACTGCGCCACCAGGGAAGTCTGAAAACAGGCCCTTTAGATAGTATATTTCAAGAAGAAATTTAATGAACCCAGATTCTTGGATCTTCCCATACATAGAAAAGCACTAAAATCATTAACTGAGATATCTGTTCCTTGTGAGTAGTAATAATCTTTTACCGAGATATGTGCTTAACTGCATGTATTCCCTAGCCAAAAATCATATATATACTGGCTTCTCCCCCTGCCTCTTTGAAGCAGTCTCTTCAGAGCTACTGAAAGGCTCTTGTTGCTGAACACAAGTTCTTGTGCCTGAAGCACAGTGAGGCCAAACAAACCAAAACATTGGAGTTTGGAGCAGAGGCAGGTTTATTGCAGGGCCAAGCAAGGAGAATGGGTGGTTTATGCTTGAAAAGTCTGAACTCTCTGGTGGTTTCCTGGGAGAAGTTTTTATAGGCAAAATTTGGGGGTGAGGGCTGCAGGGTTTTTGACTTTCTTCTGATTGGTTGATGGTGAGGTAACAGGGCGGTGTTAAAGGAACCTTGTGCTCAGCCAGAAGTTACCATCGTCCACTTGGGTGGGGGCCTTATTGGGGACCTTAGTTCGTTCAAAAGAACTCAAAGATATTGTTATGTATATCCCTTGAGGAGGACCAGGATCTTGCTTTAATCACTGCACTATAGTTTCTTGACTATTCCTCCATTGTTTCTGCATTCCCTGTTTCCCTGATTAGCAGCTGTTTGAATCTGCCATTTGGAACTCAGGGAAAGTCTAGGAGGCTGAAGCCTTCATCCTACAAATAAGAAATGGGGGACCCAGAAAGGGTGTTTTGCCCAGGAGGGCCAGTTTCAAGTCCTGCTGTGACCTTTCATGACTCAGAAACAAGAAAAACATTTCTGGCAAAGCAATCAGATTCTGGATTGATGGTCAAGGTAGAGCTGAGCGTTGCCTGTTGGATCAATGGGACAAAGAAGGGTCCATGATGTTGCCAAGGTTTACAATGGACATGTGGAAAGATGGGGTTGCTATTATTTGAAGTTGATAAGGTGGAGTCAGGAGTTTGATTTGTGGACTTTAAATGTGTCTCTAAACAACCCAAGCGGAGAGAGAATATATCATTCTGTCTGGCATTCAGGGCAGAGGTGTGGGATGGAATTTTGACTCTTGAGTGTATACACAGTACTTAAAGAGGTAAGATTCAGTGCTACCACAGGGATTATAAGACGAAAAGAGGCCTGAGAACTGAGTCCCGAGGCACTTGAACAATTAGAATTTGGGGGGAAATTAGCGCCATCCGCAGTTTCCACCGAGGTACCCCCGCCATGCCCGTCTAAACTCCAGAACTACATTTCCCAGAATCCTTTCTGTCTGTGCTTCCTGGTTAGAGGCCGGTTATGAAGTCCCGCGACACTTAGAAGGCGGAAGTGAAGCGGAAGCCATTACTCTCCGGAGGCGATTGCTGCTGTACACATGGGCAGAGGAGCGGTCCACCGCGGCTACTTCCGAGCTGTTGGTCCCCGCGGCAGACCGGACCTTTCAATGAATTTCTCGTCCCTTCGGCAGCAGCTTCCGTGACCTGTGCTCCCCGTGATTCTACCCTCCGTGATGTAAGACCCGCTTTCCTCACTTAACCCTTTACTCCCCGCTTTCCTGAGGACAAGAGAGGCCATAAGGCAGGGAGGGGTATCGGGGGACAGGGACCTGGGACCGGGAAGCCAGGCAGCCAGGAAGAGTGTGTTTTAGATACTGTGATAAGCGGTATGAAACGCTAGTGATGGAGTTTAGGACCACTGTATTTAGCGACAAGGGGGAGGCACTGGTGATCTGGTCCCAAAAAACTGATATCTTGGGATGGGGACAGAAAAGCCCGGCGGAAGTGAATTCAGGACATTATTTTTTGGGGGGGGGGGGGGGGTGTGTGTGTGTGTGTGTGTGTGTGTGTGTGTGTGTGTGTGTGTGTGTATGTGAGGAATTGGAGACCGCAAGGATAAACTACCTACCTTTTGCTTTGTGGTCAGCTTTGTCTAACATTAATAGGAGCGCACTGGTTTTCTTTCTGTTACCATTTATCTTGAATAATTTTTACACTTAAACTTTTCAGTTATTTATCTTTATTTACTTTAATTGACTCCCGTGTAAATAGCTTATAACTAGATTTTAAAATGCACTTCAACATTGTTGTTTAATTTGAGAATTAGTCCATTAATATTTATTGTGATTACTGATATCTTGCGTTGATCTTTACCACCTTATTTGGTACTTCCTGTTTATTTTTTCCCTTCAAATAATTCTTTTATCAGAATATAGGACATATATGTCCCACAAAAATATGAAAACACAGAAAATTAAAAGAAAAATAAAGTGAATCTGCAAACCAGGCCAAGAAAAATAAGTATTTGAAACCTCGGAAACCTGTATTCTCCTAAACTGCGTCTTTCTCTTTCCCCATGATTTTCTTCCTGGATTTTACTGCTTATATGTTTTCTCAAAAATGTATTTACTAATTTTGGTAATTACTTGTAGGTGGACTTACACTAAAGTATTTTCAGAGACACCCTCTTTCCATATTGATGGAAGTACCCATTTTAATTTAGATATTTCCAAATATCTTGTAGAAGATTACATGCACCTACCTACCCATTCTTTTTCAGGTATTTTGTGACTCAAATTTTAGTCAGTTTATGAAGTTCCACCTACCGGGGTTTCGTTTTCAAGTTGTGTTGAATATATATATGGATTTTGAGAATATTGGCATCATTATGCCATTGAATTTTACAATTAATTAGTTATATCTTTTTTTAAATAAATTTATTTTTGGCTGCGCTGGGTCTTTGTTGCTGCGTGCGGGCTTTCTCTAGTTGCTGCGAGTGGGGGCTACTCTTCATTGTGGTGCACGAGCTTCTCGATGTGGTGGCTTCTCTTGTTGTGGAGCTCGGGCTCTAGGCCAGCGGGCTTCAGTAGTTGTGGCACGCGGGCTCAGTAGTTGTGGCTCGCGGGCTTAGTTGCTCCACGGCATGTGGGATCTTTCCAGACCAGGGCTCGAACCTGTGTCCCCTGCATTGACAGGCAGATTCTTGACCACTGTGCCACCAGGGAAGTCCCAGTTATATCTTGTATAATGCCTTTCAATAAAGTTTTATGAGGATCAGCAAAAACGATTTAAGGGTTTGGTTTGTTGTTGTTGTTGTTAGATTTATTCCTAGGAAAGTGTATACTTTCCTTTTGCATCACACACATTTTTTAACATTTACTTTCTTTGCTAGACAGGCTGAGGACTTTGAGTAGCATTGAATGGAGTTGGATAGCAATCTTGAAGCATTGCTGTTTTCTTTCTGACTTTAAGGGAAGTTAACTTGAAAGTTTGCTGGAGGCTTTTTTTTTTTGGAAAGCGTTTATTAGGTAAAAGAAGTCTCCTATTTCCTAATTTAAGAGGTTTTGTCATGGACAGCTGTAAGCTTTTAACAAGTGATTTCCCCCCCCCAGCAACTTCTTTGATATGTTGATGGATTTCAATCACCCTTTGAAAACTATGATAGGTCTGTGATAGGTTCTAGTTCTGTTTGTGCTTTGAATGAATAAGTGAAAACTAAGACTTTCTCATTTACCTGATAATGTGAGTTAAACCAATTGATTTTCTAATGTTACATTAAATTTGCTTTGGTAAAATAACTAAATTGGAAAGGATATGTACTATTTTATCATTTTTGGTTTCTGGTTGCTAGTATTTATTTTTTATTTTTTATCTTTTTATGATTTGCATCTATGTTTGAGTGAAATTGGCTTGTAATTTTCCTTTTCTGTTTCAGGTTTATTTCAGCCTCATAAAGTGGGGTGGGAGTGTTCCCTTTTTTTTTTCTAAACTCTGGAATATTTTGCCTAAGAGTAGAATAACTTGTTCCTTAAAAGGGAGTTTAAAAAAAAAAAAAAAGGGAGTTTTACCAGGAAAAACCATTGGGGTCTGAATTTTCTTTGTGGAAAATTTTAAAGCTGTTGTTTCAGTTCTATAAGAGTCATAGGGCATCCAAGTTCTCTATTTCATTATGGTAAGTAAAATTTCTTTAGGAATTTATTCATTCCATCTAAGGCTAAACTGTATAGTCAAAGTTGTTAGTAATGTGCTTTTATTATATTTTTAATGCTGCTGCAAGTGTAGTGTTTTCTAGGTTTTCATTCTTGTATTTATATATTCTTTTTCTAAAAAAAATACATCCTGCCACAATTCTGTCAATTTTGTTTTTCATGAAGAACCACTTTATAATGTATATGTTTTCTATTTCATAACTTTCTGTTCTTTATAATTGTCTTCCTTTTACCTTTTTGGCATGTTTCTTTACAGTTTCTTACATTGGAACCTGCACATCCGAAAGGATTACAGTGGTAGTATTTTATTTTACTTCAGTTCTAAATATTATCAAATATTATGACTTCTTTGGCATGTGAATTATTTAGGCCTTTTAATTTCCATTTCTGTGACGTTTTTCGGGTTATCTTTTGGTTTTGTTTGCTAACTTGCTTGCACTATAGTCAGAGATTGATGACATTTTCTGAGACACACATTGTGCCCCATGTGTGGTTGGAGTTTATAGTTAGGAAATACTGTTTCATGTTGTGCAATCTGCATATAGTTATTGAATTGTCTGCTTGAACATATTATTGAGAGCTCTGGTAGTGGCTTTGTCCATCTTCTTAGAGTTCTGCCCCCCACCCCTGATATATATATATTTTTTAATAAATTTATTTATTTAACTTTGGCTGCGTTGGGTCTTCCTTGCTGCACGCGGGCTTTCTCTAGTTGCAGTGAGCGGGGGTGGGGTGGGTGGGGCTACTCTTTGTTGTGGTGCGCGGGCTTCTCATTGAGGTGGTTTCTCTTGTTGAGGAGCATGGGCCCTAGGCGTGCGGGCTTCAGTAGCTGTGGCTCGCGGGATCTAGAGTGCAGGCTCAGTAGTTGTGGCACACAGGCTTAGTTGCTCCGCAGCACGTGGGATCTTCCCAGACCAGGGCTTGAACCCGTGTCTTCTGCATTGGCAGGCGGATTCTTAACCACTGCACCACCAGGGAAGTCCTACCACGGATATATTTTTTTTTTGTTTTTGTTTTTGTTTTTGCGTTATGTGGGCCTCTCACTGTCGTGGCCTCTCTCGTTGCGGAGCACAGGCTCCGGACATGCTGGCTCAGCGGCCATGGCTTATGGGCCTAGCCGCTCTGCGGCATGTGGGATCTTCCTGTACCAGGGCACGAACCCGTGTCCCCTGCATCGGCAGGTGGACTCTCAACCACTGCGCCACCAGGGAAGCCCCACGGATATATTTTTGAGGCTATATTATGAAATATATATAGCTTTTTCTTGGATTGTACCTCTTTTTGTAATTCCTCAGTTTTCTCTATTAGCCTTTTTGCCTTAGTTCATTCTGATATTAATATATTTAAACCAGGTTTTTTTTAAAAAGTATTTGCCTTGTATATCTTTTTAAAATTTCCATTCTTGCTATATCTTTTCTCTTGTAAACAACATATAACTGGATTGTTTTTACTCCATTTTGAGAATATACATATTTTAGTTGAAGCATTTTGTCCCTTAACATCCTTTTTTCTTTCCTCTAGCTTCCTTTGATTTGAGTACTTTTTTCATTCCACATTTTTCTCTGCATATTTTGAATTTATCTACATGTTTATATGCATATTGAATTTATTTATGTCTATTATTTTAGTGGTTATTTTGGAGTATTCTTATTCATGCTCGTTCATGAAATTTAGATGTTTTTAATTATTTATTCATGGCTGCGTTCGGTCTTCGTTGCAGTGCGTGGGCTTCTCATTGCAGTAGCTTCTCTTGTTGCAGAGCATGGGCTCTAGGTGCACATGTTTCAGTAGTTGTGGCACGTGGGCTCAGTAGTTGTGGCTCACAGGCTCTAGAGCACAGGCTCTGTAGTTGTGGCACACAGGCTTAGTTGCTCTGCAGTATGTGGGATCTTCCCGGGCCAGGGCTCGAACCCATGTCCCCTGAATTGGCAGGCATATTCTTAACTACTGTGCCACCAGGGAAGTCCCTAGATTTTTGATATGTTATCACTCTCCTGATTTACATGGTTTTGTGATCATGCATTTTAATTCTATCTATTTTTAAACCTCAGAAGAGATTATCATTGTATACAGTCATTTTTAGTTTCATTTTACCCACACATTTTCCATTTTGTATGCTTACTTTGATTCTTGGACTCTTCGATATAAGTTCTTAACACTCTTTACTTTGGTTCCTTGATTTTTTATTTCTCTCTAAAATAACGTATTTTAGAATTTCTCTTTTCTCTGAATGGCAAGCCCAAATATACCATTATTTTGCCATCTTAGTAGGCATTTTGGTTGCTAAAGGACTGTATATTTTATTCCAGAGCCATGAAGATGTTCCATTATCTTCTGGCTTCCATTGTTGCTGGCGAGGAGTCAGGTGTCAGGCTAATGTTTATTTCTTTAAAGCAGTGATTCTTAAAGTGTACTCTTCAGACGTACAACATCAGCATCACCTGGGAACTTATTAGAAATGCATATTCTTGCATCCCCAGTTTCTGATGAATCAGAAACTGGGGATGCGGCTTAGCAATGTGAGTTT